AAACAAAGTTCCGTCTGAACAACATCTTTACAAACAACTTATAAACAAAGTTCCATCTGAACAACATCTTTACAAACAACTTATAAACAAAGTTCCGTCTGAACAACATCTTTACAAACAACTTATAAACAAAGTTCCGTCTGAACAACATCTTTACAAACAACTTATAAACAAAGTTCCGTCTGAACAACATCCATACAAACAACTTGTAAAGAAAGTTCCATCAGAATAACATCCTTATATCTACTGTTGTTCTTTCATGTAATTTTGAAGTCTTGTGGCTTCAAGAAACTGAACATATGAAAACAGATAAAATGAAAAATCACCAACACATTTCCAAAACACAAAACAAACAGGCAAAACGAATCCTTAATATTTGACTAGTACTGAAGATGGAGTGAACATTTATCTCATATCTTTAGTGTGGTGTATGTTTGGAAAAAAAATGATAAAGGTAGGTTTGTGGTGAAGGACTTGAAGTCTGTTCGTTACTGGTCACGGTAGAAGGTTTCAGTTTCGATATGATTGAACAAAGGTAGGTTTGTTGAAGTACTTGAAATCCATTAGATACTAGCCAAGGTAGAAGGTTTCAGTTTCGATATGATTAAACAAAGGTAGGTTTTATTGAAGGACTTGAAATCCATTAGATACTAGCCAAGGTAGAAAGTTTCAGTTTCGGTATGATTAAACAAGGGTAGGTTTTATTGAAGGACTTGAAATCCATTAGATACTAGCCAAGGTAGAAGGTTTCAGTTTCGATATGATTAAACAAAGGTAGGTTTGTTGAAGGACTTGAAATCCATTAGATACTAGCCAAGGTAGAAGGTTTCAGTTTCGATATGATTAAACAAAGGTAGGTTTTATTGAAGGACTTGAAATCCATTAGATACTAGCCAAGGTAAAAAGTTTCAGTATACGTAGTATGGGCAGTGAGGAAGAAAACTAAATCTAATGTTCTGATTTTAGATTTCAACTCAGCTACTTATAACTTCTGGTTTATGTTACATACGGTAAGGTTTATTCTGATTTAAATAACTCAATAGTGGAAGCATTACTTGGAGTTACATAATGTGACCCAGAAGCAGGACTTGAAAGGACCACTGATTTGGTTTGACTGTGAAGTATTCACGTAAAGCTTTGTATTAACAATACTTCATATTTCCTGTAAAGTATATTTACTCTTACTTGTACCTAACTGCCTTTTGTGATTATTACTTTTATATACAAAATACCTTTACTTTTTACTTTATTTCTAAGTATTTTCTAACAGAGGGCATTAATGTTACAGTCAGTATCTTAGTTTGTTCTGATTTGGACAGGTGTTTTTCCGCGCTGGTGTGTTGGGCCGACTGGAAGAAATGCGTGATGAACGTTTAGGTAAGATTATCACTTGGCTCCAGAGCTGGATCCGATGGTATCAGTGTAAGAAGGAATTCAAGAAACTAAAAGAACAGAGGTAAGTCTATGCATTCTTTATTCTACAATAATTGTAAACAGGATATCGTGCTAACAAATCAGACAAACAAAAATGTGGGCCTATTTGATAAAAAGTACCCAGTGTTTTTTTCTACAGTATCCTTAATAAGACATTAGAATCTAGCTAGTTCGTGTTTTATGTAATTCGTTAACAACTTATGATTTATTATCAAATATGTATAATAATTTATTTTCTACTTACTTTTAACAAAATGGGATTTCTTTCAGAATTGCTCTGCTTATCATTCAGAGGAACCTCCGTAAATTTCTGCAACTTCGTAACTGGCTGTGGTGGAAACTTTACTCCAAGGTATGGGCTTAGGCTAAGCGTTTTGTGTCACAGTACAAGAAAACCTTACTCTAAGGTATGGGTGTAGGCTAAGCGTTTTGTGTCACAGTACAAGAAAGCTTTACTCTAAGGTATGGATGTAGGGTAAGCGTTTTGTGTCACAGTACAAGAAAGCTTTACTCTAAGGTATGGATGTAGGGTAAGCGTTTTGTGTCACAGTACAAGAAAGCTTTACTCTAAGGTATGGATGTAGGGTAAGCGTTTTGTGTCACAGTACAAGAAAACCTTAATCTAAGGTATGGGTGTAGGCTAAGCGTTTTGTGTCACACTACAATAAAACCTTATTCTAAGGTATGGATATAGGCTAAGGGTTTATTGTCTAGTTTATATCAATACTTCTCAACCTTTTATTATCTACTTTATATCAGTACTTCTCAAACTTTTATTGTCTAGTTTATATCAGTACTTCTCAACCTTTTATTATCTACTTTATATCAGTACTTCTCAAACTTTTATTGTCTAGTTTATATCAGTACTTCTCA